CCCCCCCCCCCCCGCTTCCACCTTGAATACACATAAAATCCCAGGAACTAACTGACCACCTGCGCAACTCACTCTCAAGTTGGTCCGCTCATATGGGTACGTTTTTTCTACAGTGGTACCCACGCCTGTGCCTCTTTCTTTGTCTCTACCTGATTAAAACTTACTTTATTCTCACTTTGATTCATCCTTGAAAACTTTCCTGGATGAGTCAAGGATCTGAAGGTCACCTGACACTCGAAAGTTCCAGATTGTGCTGGGGCAGGGCCAGCCCCCAGCACAGAAGTGGTCCAGTAATACATACATACATGAGAGGTACAGAGACAAAGGGGAAATGAGGTATATGTGACATTCTGAGCTAAAGATGAGGTATTGGAGATACGACCTGCCGGGAACCAATTCCAGCATGTCATAATTTCAAGCTTTTCATCAAAAGGTTGATGAAACTTGGGGACTCAACAGGTTGAGTCACACATATAGTCACCTGTTGGGAATGGCTAAAGGCATTTCCCCAAACCTGAATAGGAAACTGATTGTGGCTGCCAGACAGTTAAAGGGCATCTTAATCTACATGTTATTGCCTCCTACTGGCAAAACACCTGAACAGCCGTAGGCTATTCCCCAAACTGACAATGCTTCTGTACCTTTTGAAACCTTACCCTTTGAAGTGTATTATCTCCACCTTGCCTTAGGACAAATTGTGTTAATAAAAGCAAGGGTCCTAGACAAGGAGGGTGTCTTCAGTTCCTTTAGCTGAAGGTCCTCTGACCCCCAATGCCTTTCAAAATTATATCTCGTCTCTGGATGCTTTATTAGTCTCTGGATTTCTATGTCATCTAGGCAGAGCGCCTTTTCCAGATTCCTGAAACCTTCTTGATGCTGGGACAAGAACCCCGGCAACTACCCTTTCCCCATTGTATACTCTTGGCTCCTTCTTCCTAAATTAATGACTGTATGTGCATGGGTTTATTTCTGGGTTCTCTGTTCTGTTTCATTGATCTATGAGTCTTTTTTAATGCCAGTATTGTACTGCTTTAATTACTATAGGTTTTTATGTAGTTTGAAACCTGTGGGCATGATGCTTCTAGGTTAGTTTTGCTTTTTCAAGATTGCTTTGGCTATTCAGGATCTTTTGTAGTTCTTTACAAATTTAAGAATTGTTTGTTCTATTTCTGTGAAAAAAATGACATTGGAATTTTGATAGAGATTGTATTGAATCTATGGATTGCTTTGAGTATTTTGTAATTCAATCTAGTAAATGTGAATATCTAATTGGCTTTAATAACTGATTCATGAATCAGACAGCATCCCACCTAACAAGTAAGAGAAATTTCTGAAAGGTTGTACAAAAGTAGGTTTTTACAGAAAAAAAAGAGTAGCATAAGGGAGCTCTTAATAACAGAAAAGAAGAAATTTGGGGGTGGGGCCTTGACATCTTTTCTTTGGGAGATGAGAACAAGAGGGTTTTCTCATGCAGATTCCTTCTTCTTTCTACAGGGATGGAGAGGGCCCATGTGACAGATTACCTAACTGGTGCTTGACCAAAAGATTCCAACCTGGTTGATAAAATTGTATTTCTGGGAGATGTAGACACTTCCATTAGATCCAGTATTAAATCTGGGTTTGGCATCCTGGACTTTCAGCATGAGTGATGCCAATATTAATTCTTCCAATCTGTGACCACAGTATACCTTTCCATTTTTGCATCTTCTTCAGTAACATTCAGCAATATGTTATAGTTTTCAGTGTACAGGTCTTTCACTTCCTAGGTTATGTTTACTCCTAGTATTTTATTCTTTTTGATGCAGTTGTAAGTGGGATTATTTTCTTAATTTCTCTCTCTGACAGTTTGTTATTAGACACCACAGATTTCTGTAAATTAATTTTGTATCCCACAATGTCAGTGAATTCATTTATTGGTTCTAACAAATTGTTTTTATTTTAAATAACTTATTGGAGTGAATGAATGAAATAAACTGAACGTATTTAAAATGCCAACTTATCTGAATTAAAGGAGCCATAAAGAAATTAAGAATACATGTAATCACCCTGATCCTCTGCTTCCTTATTTCTAGCGGTGATGTGAGATGATAAACCTAATTCAGTCAATTTTGTTAATAAATAAAATATTTAGAAATATTTGGTGAGTCTAAGAATTGCTTCACAGGTAAGAAGTAGATGTATGCGTACGTGTGTGTACATTTTATCTGAATTTTTTCTAATAAACACACACCCATATATGTCCAACACAGACTCGTTAAAATTTTCATCTTGCATGTTAAAAGAAAACTTGAAAAAAATTGGAGGGAATAGAAGCTAAAAGAACAAATGGTTAAATTAAAGTGAAATTAAAGGAAAGACAGGGAGACATAAAGATGTAAAGTAGAATTGTTGAGGAAGATGGCGGCAGAGCTGGTGGAAGTCGCTCTCTCCTCCTCCCGGCCTGGACTTGGAATCACAACTAAATTATACAACAATCAACCTAAATAACCAACTGAAAACAGCTGAACAGAAGTCTTACAACCAAATATTTGCAGAAGGAGCCACATTGAGACCAATGCCATCTTTCCTGGGGCAAGCACTACCCTCCAATCTGCATCAGCCTAGGGGACTGCACAAGCCCCACACTCCCGGCCCCCTTGCCATCCTGTCTGAGCTCACAGCCCACAAAGGAGTGTGCTGTCTGAGCCTGTACTAGGAATGGGGAAGCGGTGACCTTATTTCTAGAAACTCATATCAATGCAAAAGACAATTACTTAAACCTGCATAACAACCTTACCCTGTTTACTGTGCTTTCCCTGGTAACCGGCCATATCTGACTCCCCTCCCTGAACACCTGTTTCTGTCTTCAGTTAATGATGGTGGTTAAGGTGGTATTTTCAGGAGTTACTTCGTTTTCCTAGATCTCTACCATATATATAGGAGGTATACATGTTATTAAACTTTTGTTTGTTTTTGTCCTGTTACTCTGTCTTTTATTACAAAGATGTGTCAGCCAAGAACCAGGAAGAATTTAGGTTAAATTATTTTTCCTCCCCTAATGAACAACAGGCTATACCATATAGCCTAGGCCCTAGGGGAGTAGAAGGCTATACCATCTAGGTTTGCATACGTGCACTTTCTGATGTGCACTCAATGACAAAAATCGCCTGTGGATGCATTTCTCAGAACATATCCCTGTTTGTTAAGCAGTGCATGACTGTACATCTTTCATTCAAAATCTTAAGCAAACACAATTTTTGGTGAAGATGGCCTACAACTACTTACCCCTTACTCTACAACAGGACCAAAACTTGCTACTCAAAGAGTGGTCCTCAGACCAGGCCCTGCAAAACCAGCATTTTCCTGGGAATTATGAGAAATGCAGATGCCCTGGGCCCACCAGCACCTGCTGAATCACTATCTGTGCTTGAACTGGAATCGTGGGTGATTCATATTGATAAAGACTTGCCAAAACCGGTTTGGCTCAGTGGATAGAGCGTCGGCCTGCGGACTGAAAGGTCCCAGGTTCGATTCCGGTCAAGGGCATGTACCTAGGTTGCGGGCACATCCCCAGTAGGAGATGTGCAGGAGGCAGCTGTTGGATGTTTCTGACTCTTTATCTCTCTCCCTTCCTCTCTGTAAAAAATCAATAAAATATATTTTTAAAAAATAAAAAGACTAACAGCAATTTAAGCAAACATAACCAGTCAGGAGGGCCTATGGGAGGAGATAGCACTAATGGAATTTCTCACACTGTATGTAATCGTCAGAGCCCTACAGGAAGAACGCTATGTTTATAAAGCTCCATGGTTCTAACTTCCCCTTCCCTCTTCCTTTCCCCTTCATAAGTAGCCCTCGATCTGGGCACACAGGCCAGAGTGTGCATGTGGCTTGGCATGGGTTGCAATACTTTCTTTATTCTGAATAAATCCTTTTGCTGATGAAACACCTAGTCAATGTTATTTTTTTAAGTCAATAATATGCACTGTGAAGTTGGAGAAGGGCTCGTCTAGACTAGGAATTTTTACCTTCTAAATATGACATAACTATTTGTGTTGGGTATGGCAAGTATTTAGCAGCCTATCTTCAGATATTCCCTCATTGGGAACCACTGCACAGTTTGAGAACTGAAAGCATCATGACAGATTGTAATCAAAACCGTACTCTGATTATCATGTTGGGTTGGTCACTAAACTTCCTCAATCACAACTTCTGCAATGGAGAATGAAGGTCATAATTTTAGCACTTCAGAGAAAGGACTTTTATAAAATTTAAATCAAATAATGCGTATAAGGTACTAAACTCAGATTGTATAGCATAAATTTTATAATTATGTCTCATAATTAGCAAAGGTCTTAGAATATGGGTCTAAATAGCAGCTCTTATTTTCTGATATAAGTATGAAATTTCTCATTGATTTGTCAAATGTGTCAAGAAGCCAAGGAGGGTGGTGCACAAAGCTTTACATCAAAGTCACACCGTCCTTTCCCTTGTTGAAGAGAGAAATAGCAATTTTCTGGAGGTATCATGGCTTGTGCCTCACAACAATTCAGTGCTTTCAAAATTCAAGGTTCCTAGTCAAGCCAGTTTCTTCAGTCTGGGACTTTAGAGAAAATGTAATTCAAAGTTGGGTAAGATGCTGGGAGATGAGACCTCAAGAGGGTCATGAAGAAGGAGTAACAAAAACAAGATTCACTTAACCTCTAACCTGATCCCTTGGGAACAAAGAATTGGCAGGAATTTTTCCATTCTGTTCAGACCAGTGTGTCCACAGGGAAACCGGGTGCTCAGAGGTGGGAGCAACAATGCAAACAGCATCTAATGAGCAGATAAAGGAGGAGTAATATCTCCTCTGCTGCAGACTGGCAACATTTGCAACGTTAGGCTGGAACAGAACGTATTTGTTTCTTTGGGAGTCTTAAGTCTGACTCTGAGACTAATGCTTGACTCCTTCCTGCTCTTTTGTCTGAGAACAGAGCTTCAGTCTCCAACATAACCATCCAGGGAGCAATTCAGACTTCTATAAGGAGCCCTTCCTTTCAGAGGCCCATCCAGGTGAGTCTGTGAGTGGAGCAGATGCTGTGGGAAGATTCAAGGAGTGCATCCCAGAATTTCTCCCTGAGGTAACCTGAGAGGCTAACCAGGCCAGCTCAGAGCTGAGAGACTGCCATACCTGTGTGCTAGGTGGGCTAGTATACAGTTAATACATTTAGTATGTTAAATTAGTTTTCTCCTAAAAACATTGCTGTTTGGCATAGAATTCCTTTATATATGTATAGATGGAGTTAGGGAAATGGATGAAAATGTATTAATTTTGTGTGGTCAATTCTATCAGTCTGTCATATTGTGTCTTCTCCCATTACTTTTAAACATAAACAGTTCTACATTTTTCACCTTGGCAGAAAAATTCTTTTGCATTCAATTAATGATCTTTTCTATCCATTTTCTAAGCATAATCTATTTATGTTTACATAGGTATAAATTATAACTGTAGATACTACTTTCTCCACTGCCTTTTAAAAGTATATTTTTGTATTTTTATTTCCACATCTTTACCCATATATCTGAAATTGGAGACCTATATTGATGTGATTAAAGTTTTGTGGGGTTTATTTTGGCTTTTCTTTTGTTTTACAATTTTATTCAATTTTACTAATGCCAATATTTGAATACACAATATTCAACAATGTTTATTTTCCCTGCCATTTTTTATATTATGAATATTCCATACCTTAACACTTTTCCATATAAAAGCACACATTTATCAAACTACATAAATGAATAATCAGTGAGCTCCCTGCTCATTTGACCTCACATTATACAAAGAAGGCCCAGTACAATGAAATAAGTGTGCTATCATATCATATTCTCAGGGATAAATATGTGAAGAAAGGGGATCAATTGTTGTGGCATAAGCAGGATTTTCTAAAAAATGTTCGGGGATGATTTGTAGGTTGACAAAGAACAGAACCAGGACCAGTGCCCACCCATCAGTTGTATCACAAAAGAGATCAAAACTCAAACCCAAAAATAGCAAAGGAAAGATGCTATTGAGCCGTGTAAACACCAGAGTGATCTAATAAACATGGAATAGGTGCAGGAAGCACAATTAGATCAGAGGCTGGACAGGACGCTGTGATGAGGCCAGTGGAGCAGTGAAGTTCCAGTCAGTGTGTGGTCCCTTGAGTCAGAGGTAACTTCAGCATCCACGCTGGCTCCCTCTTCTCTCTGCACCTGGCTCTCTGCTGGGCTTTTCACTGTTATTTTTCCCTCATAGTCAGGAAATGGCCTTTTAGGCTGTCCTTGCATTTATTGTGTTGAATTCCAGATTTGTTTCACTGTGTCCCAAAATAAGACGTGCCTTTTACATTGTGATCCAGCATTTTTGCACGACACACACACACATGCATGTGTGAACAAAGGGAGCCATGAAATGATTATGTATGGACGCTCACTGTGTATGACACACTCTAATACTTTCTTTTGTGCCTCCTTGATTCCATTCTATTTCATTCTTACAACTGTAATCTGACACCCTAATGGCTCCTGATCTCAGAATATACAGAGCACTCCTCAAGCATGTCGTCCACACCTAACTTCATGGAATCCTGTCATAGACTACATGTTTATTCAGCCACACTAAACTAAATCTGAAGGGGGAGAGAAGGTGTTTGTATAACATGTTATATGCCTCAGGTACTCACAGTCTAGCAAGGAACAAAAACATGGGATTAAATAAAAATCTCACCATGGGTGCCCTAACACTTAGATTAAGAGCATGAGAAAGTGACCTTTTCCTGTGCTCATGCTAGAAAAGTAAAAGGTTCATGAAGGAGAGGATCTAGTCTCTCTGAAAGAGGAGTTGGAGTTTGAATGATTGAGGGGGGTAAAAAAAATCCAAAAAGACCAGTGGGGAGACCCCAAGCAGAGGAAAGTGAGCCCATAAAGGCTCTGAGCCCCGCAGCTGTGGTGTCAGGTGAAGCTGGACTCAAGTTCAATGTGTAGGCGACCAGTGTGAGGGAGGCCAGGGCTCTGTGAGGGTAGAACTGGCCCAAAGTTCACAGACACTTGAGCCTCGTGTTTGAAGCTACGAAATTTTGGCTTCAATCTCCAGTGAGGTATCACTAGGGGAGGAATTTCAATCAGAGAGTTCAGTGATCAGTGTTAAAGTTCTCTCTGAGTCAATGTGAGTATTTGGCTAGAGGGGTGGCCGCCTGTTAGATGGGAGAGATGACAGGGAACTGAAATATGTCTATGGAATATGAGACCCAGGTGTTGGGAAGGATTAGAGACATTGGAGAGGAGGAAGAAAATAATCAGCCTCATCCTATCACAGTGATGATAACCATTCATTTACCAACAAGCAGGAAGTACACCAAGCTCTCTACATACAGTATATTGATTTTCTGTCCACCATCATAGGCCGAAGGATACTTAAATCTTCACCATCAGGTGAGGGTATTAACAATTATTAGGCTGTAGCCCTAACCAGTTTGGTTCAGTGGATAGAGCATCGACCCGAGACTGAAGGTTCCTGGGTTCAATTCTGGTCAAGGACACATTCTTGGGTTGGTGGATCGATCCCCAGTAAGGGGTGTGCAGGAGGCAGCCAATCAATGATCCTCTCTCATTATTGATGTTTCTATCTCTCTTTCCTTCTCCCTTCTCTCTGAAATCAATAAAAATATATTTTTTAGAAAAAGACAAAGAGAGAATCTTAAAAGCAGCAAGAGAAAGCACGAAGTTACCTACCAGGGAGCACACATGCAACTCTCAGCTGATTTCTAAAAAGAAAGTTTACAGGCCAGAAGGGAGTTGTAAGAAATATTCAAAGTGATGAATATCAAGGACCTAGAACCAAGAATACTCTACCCAGCCCAGCTGCCATTTAGAATTAAAGGTCAGATAAAGAGCTTTACATACAAGAAAAAGCTAAGAGAGTTCATCACCACCAAACCAGTATTACATGAAATGTTGAAAGGTATTCTTTTTTTTTAAAATATATTTTATTGATTTTTCACAGAGCGGAAGGAGAGGGAGAGTTAGATACATCGATGAGAGAGAAACATCGATCAACCGCCTCCTTCACACCTCCCACCGGGGATGTGCCCGCAACCAAGGCACATGCCCTTGGCCGGAATCGAACCCAGAACCCCTTAGTCCGCAGGCCAATGCTCTATCCACTGAGCCAAACCAGTTAGGGCTGAAAGGTATTCTTTAAGAAGAAGGAGAAGGAGGAGGAGGAGGAGGAGGAGGAGGAGGAGGAGGAGGAGGAGGTGGAGGAGGAAGATGAGGAGAAAAAGATAAAAAATATGAACAATAGAATGGCAATAAAAACATATCTATCAATAATTGAAAGTAAAAGTCCAGGTAAAAAGCAAGGAATCTAATGAACAAAATAAACTGATGAATAAAATAGAACCAGAGGCTTGGAAACATGGAACAAACTGATGAATCTCAGAGGGAAGGAAGAGAGTAGGGAAGAGATTAACCAAAGAACTTATATGCACATATGCATTACCTATGGATAGAGACAGTAGCATGGTGAAGGCTGGCAGTGGGTTGGGAACTGGGTAAAGGGATAGGGTTGATAAAAGGGAGACATCTGTAATAATCTCAATAATAATAATTTTTAAAAAAATACCTGTGTAATCCATGACCACCTTGGGGAAAAGGTGCGAGGAGAACAGAAATTCCTAATCAGAGATATCATGGGTTGGGGTGTGGGTGTTAAAGGGGATGATATGTTGAAAAAACAGATATTGTTTACTTTACTGCAAAATATAACTGTAGCATTTCAACTATGCTAGTAATAGCAATTTGTTTAAAAACTGATCATGCTACTTTTTCTTTCCTACTAGTCACCTACACCACATGAGACAAGGCAATGATACCCCAATTTCAGAATTTCTTCTCCTGGGACTTTCAGAGGAACCAGCACTGCAGCCCCTCATATTTGGGCTTTTCCTCTCCATGTACCTGGTCACTGTGTTGGGAAACCTGCTCATCATCCTGGCCGTCAGCTCAGACTCCCACCTCCACACACCCATGTACTTCTTCCTCTCCAACCTGTCCTTGGTAGACATCTGTTTCACCTCCACCACCGTCCCAAAGCTGTTGGTGAACATCCTGACACAGAGAAAAATCATAACCTATAAAGGTTGCATCACACAGATTTATTTTTTCATACTATTTGGAATGTTGGATAACATCCTCTTGACAATCATGGCCTATGACCGCTTTGTAGCCATCTGTCACCCCCTACACTACATGGTCATCATGAACCCCCGGCTCTGTGGACTGCTGGTTCTGGTGTCCTGGATCATAAGTGGCCTGAATTCCTTGTTACAAAGCATAATGGTATCGCAGCTGTCCTTCTGTACAGACTTTGAAATCACCCACTTTTTTTGTGAAATCAAACAGGTTGTCCAACTTGCCTGTTCTGACACCTTTCTTAATAACATGGAGATGTATTTTGTAACTGCACTACTGGGTGCTGGTCCCCTCACTGGTATCCTTTACTCTTACTCTAAGATAGTGTCCTCCATTTGTAGAATCCCATCAGCTCAGGGGAAGTATAAGGCATTTTCTACGTGTGCATCTCACCTCTCAGTTGTCTCCTTATTTTATGGTTCAGTCCTAGGAGTGTATCTCAGCTCTGCTGCTACCCAAAGCTCACACTCAAGTGCAGCAGCCTCAGTGATGTACACCGTGGTCACACCCATGCTGAACCCCTTCATCTACAGTCTGAGAAACAAAGACATAAAGAGGGCCCTGAAAAGATTCTATGGGATGGCAGGTACAAAAGGGACAATCATCCTGAGGTAGAAAAAGTACTTTAAGACTCAAAAGCGGAAATTGAGATTCTTTCATCAGATTGTAGTTTTCAGACTTCGTCCTTGTATCCTGTCCTTGAATTTCCTTTGTTTGTTTCAACTCTTCTATACAATTTAAGTAACCATTTCATTCAGCTTTCTGCTTTGTCTGTTATATGAACAGTTCCCTTTTTTTTCTTTTTACCTTCACAATGTTTTTTCCAACCTTGATCAGAAATGTTTGGAAGTTTTCATTTACTTCACTAGAAACATTGATGTCTTAACAATAATTTCTTCTCAAATGACATATATCATTGTAAGTAATTTGTTCTGTGTTCACCATGTGCCCCGCATTTTTGTACATCAGTACCTTAACTGATCCTCCTGATACTGTAGACTTTATGATTGTTCCCTATACGTCTCAGTCTGTAGATAGTGATGCAATAGGATAGGAACGCCTGGGCACTGGCCTGGGTCCTACTACTTGTTCCTTAGAGCAGAGTCAATGTTTTGACCAGATGGATCCTTATGGTCTTTATTACATTTATAACAAGCATCACGGAACTATGGAAATGTAAGTTTTATTACTCACAGGTCCAGCATGCCCAAATGCCACACAGGAAAGTGAGTGTATGTGTGTGTGTGTGTGTGTGTGTGTTGTGTGTGAAAGAGAGAGACCGACAGGCAGACAGAGAGATAGAAAATGGACTTCGACTGAAGGACTCTGCCTGTATTGTGGCCCAAGACAGGATGGCTAGGGTTTTATGGGTTTACTTTTTCTTTAAAACATAAGAGTTGGAATTAGAGCAGGGGATGGAAAAGTGGGTTCACCTATAAGGTCAGTTATCTAGGTTTCTACAAGGGAAATTTTGTAATATGTTAATCTGTGTAAGAATCAATAAAATTCTGTGTTTAATTCCAAATAAACTTTGCTACCTAGATATATCCATTGTTTATGTGAACTTTCTTGCTTTGCTTGTAATTAAATTGCTTGTAATCTATATATATACACACCTAAGTGACCAAATGACTGAACGACCGAATGACTGGTCACTATGATATGCACTGCCCACCGGGTGCAAACGATCAATGCAGTAGCTGCCCCCTGGTGGTCAGTGCGCTCCCACAGCCAACCTCCTGTGGCTGGCCAACCTTCCAAGGTCCCTTCCCCAGGCAGGCCAACCTCCTGCAGTCTAACCCCCTATAAGGCCAACCTCCATGGTCCCTCCCCCTGGCCCACCAACTTCCCTTGGTCCCACTACCCAAACAGTTGGCCATCCCAGATTAGCCCCGATTGCCAACCAGGCCAAGGGATTCCACCTGTGCACTAATTCATGCAGCAGGCCTCTAGTTAAAAATAAAATTGCATATATTTCAAGTTCCAAATCAAATTAAAATTAAAGGGGAACTTCATGGGTGGCGGCAACATGAGTGCTTATGTAGTAGCAGTGTCATATATTTGTCAAAATGATTATCTGAGATGGATGTCTTTGAAAAAAAGCTTAGTCAGGTACTTGTGATACAAACATGCTACTGTATTTCATACATAATATTCAGGTTTCATTGTCTTATTTAGATGAGGGTCCAATTGTGGCAATTATAATAAGGACCACAAGGGTCCATCTAGTCACAATATTACTCTGGTCTCAGGAAAAGTAGTAGGAACCAGGCAAGTGCCCAGGCATTCCTTTCATATTGCATCATTATCAATAGACTGAGATTTATAGGGAGCAATCATAACTACCATAGTTGCTGGCAAAACTTGATTATCCAATATCTATCTTCCAGTGGAATCTACTTGGAAACATACATGAGAGGTTCAGAGACTGAAAGAGACAGTGTGGTACCATTTATATGACATTTTGAGCTAAAGATGAGGTAAAGCACCTGGAGCTACAGAAGGGAGGGAGGACATTGTGAGACAATAAGAAGAAAAGATGTTCAGTAATTAGAAATTTGTCCTGATCTAGGTATCTTATATAAAAAAAGGCTAATATGCAAATCGACCAAACGGAGGAACGACTTGTCGTAATGTCACACACTGACCAGCAGGGGGCATACGCTCAACACAGGAGCTGCCCTCTGGTGGTCAGTGTGCTCCCACAGGAGAAGTGCTGCTCAGCCAGAAGTCAGGCTCAAGGCTGGCGAGTGCAGCAGTGGTGGTGAGAGCCTCTCCCACCTCCACAGCAGCACTAAGGATGTCAGACATCCCCAAGAATTCCCAGGCAGTGAGAGGGCGCAGCCAGGCTGAGGAAACCCACCAAGTGCACATATTTTGTGCACCGGGCCTCTAGTAGGTCATGAATGTTATCTCTGATGATAATTCTTATTATTGGCAAGACTCAAAGTTCAAATTTTTTAAGGGAGATATAAAAGTTCCTATCTGGCAACTAAAGGGGAGCTCAGAGGGGATGTATAAAAAAGAACTTTTTTATAGAAAAGAGGGAAGGACAAAAGAGCTATTAAAAACAGGGGGGGGGGGAAGGATTATTTGGGGGCCAAGACATCTTTTATTTGGGGAAAGACAGGAGGAAGAATTTCTATCATACAGATTCCCTCTTCTTTCTGTGGGGAATGGGGCAGGCCATGTGACAGATTACCTTATTGGTCCTTGACCAGAAAATTCAGGGCTGGTTGATTAAAACTAAGCTTTTCAGCGCTGATAAAACTTCCATTAAATCCAGTATGAAATCTAGATTTAACATCATGGGTTTTTAACTGGAGTGATGCCATTTTGGGCCTGCGGTTTTCTCTTTAACAATAGTATTATGGAAGGAAGATGGCAGCCCGCAGGACGGTAGTGAGGGAGAGAGTATGAGTGAGGGAGAAAAAGAGGAGTGTGTGGATATGTAGGGTGTGTGAATGTGTGCATGAAGAGCAGTCAGATTCTGCAGGAATTTGGGGGCTGGTGGGCCAGGCTCCCCTAGCTGGGAAGTCTCTGCTACTGCTGCAATCTCTCCTGGGGCAGCCAGCTCTGCCACAGAGGCCACGCCATCTTGAAGGGGAGAGCTGCTGTGACTGGGAGCCTCCACCAGGGTGCCGTCAGACACAACCCGGTACCCTACAGCCACTCCAGCCAGGGACCTGCTGCCTTGGTTGTGGACCCACAAACACTAAGACTACAACCTCCTTGACCACAAGCTCCTCTGAGATCTGGAACATGCTCCTCTCATGCCAGCCATATTCTTTAGCCCTGAGCAGCACAACCATGTGTGCAAACAGCCAAGCCTTACACAGCAACCCTGGGACACACAACTGCACAGATGCCCACCAAGCCCGAAGCATCGACCCCAGGCCTGGTGACCATGTGACCTACCATGGAGGCCGCCGCTGCAGTCACAGGCACAGTGTGACTTGACACCCAGATCTTTCAGTGAGAGCGAAAATGGGGAGACAAAAAAAACAACCCCCAAAGAAAAGGAAAAATCACCAGAAAAGGAGCTAAATGAAATGGAGGCATGCAATTTGTCAGAAAAAGAAGTGATAATAGGGTCATACACTTCATAAACCAGATGGATAAGAAAATCAACAACTTATGTATAAATCAAGAATAAATAAAGTGTGATATACCTACAATAAAGAGCACTGTGGAAGGTTTCAACAGTAGACTAGAAAAAGTGGAGGACTGAATAAATGAATTAGAAGACAGGGCAGAAAAACTCATCCAATCTGAGCTGCAATTGAAGAAAAAAAATTAAAAGGCAGGAGTAGAGCTGAAGGGAACTTTGGTACAACATGAAATGAAGCAACATATGTATAATAAGGGTGAGAGAATGACAAGAAGAAGAGCAAGGGTTAGAAAACTTAATTGAAAAAATAATGTCAGAAAACTTCCTTGATTTGGGGAAGAAGTCACACAAGCACAGAGAATCCCATCAAGATGAACCCAAAAACACACGAAGACACATCATAATTACAATGGCAAACTTTAATGACAAAGAGCGAAACTTAAAGACTGCAAGAGAGAAACAGAGAGTTACCTACAAGGGATCTCCCATTAGATTATCAAATGATTTCTCAATCGAAACACATCAGGCTAGAGAGGAATGGAAAAACTATATAAAGTGATGCAGGACAGGGGACTGAGTTCAAGAATACTCTATCCAGCAAGGCTAACATTCAAAGTTGAAGGGGAAATCAGGAGCTTCACAGACAAAAAAAAGCCTAAGGGAGTTTATCACTACCAAGCCAGCAATGCAAGAAATGCTAAAGGGACTCTTGTAAAAACAAGAAATTAAAAAAAAAGAAGGAACACAGGCACAAAAATAAAAATGGTTACAAACAAGTACCTATCAATAATAACCTTGAACATAAATGGACTGAATGCTCCAATGAAAAGACATCAAGTGGCTGAATGGATAAGAAAACATGACCCATATATATGCCATCTGCGGGAGACCCACCTCAGAACAAGGGGAGCACACAGACTGGGAGTGAAGGGATGGAAAAATATCTTTCAGGCAAAGGGAAATGAAAAAAAAGCTGGGGTAGCAATACTTATATCAGACAAAATAGACCTCAAAGTGAAGGCCATAACAAGAGATAAGGAAGGCCACTTCATAATACCAAAGGGATCAATACAACAAGAAGATATAAATCTAGTAAACATATATGCACCCAATACAGGGGAACCCAAATACACTACAAAAAAAAACTACTGGGGGAAATCAAGGATGAGATAGTCAACAATACAATCATAGTAGGGGACTTTAATACCTTGCTGACATCACTGGACAACTCCTCTGGATGAAAAATCAGCAAGAAAACAGCAATCCTAAATGACTCACTAGATCAGCAGTTCTCAACCTGTGGGTCGCGACCATCGGAAAACACATATAGCAGTGGTTCTCAACCTTCCTAATGCAGCGACCCTTTAATACAGTTCCTCATGTTGTGGTGACTCCCAACCATAAAATTATTTTCATTGCTACTTCATAACTGTAATTTTGCTACTGTTATGAATCGTAATGTAAATATCTGATATGTGTTTTCTGATGGTCGCGACCCACAAGT